CAGAGCCGGGGCTCAGGGGCACAGCGAGGCTCGGCCGGCGGAGCGGCGGCATGCGGCGGTGTCGGGGCGCGGGGCTGGCGGCGCTGGCCGCGCTGCTCATCGGTGCGCGGGGCTAGCGGCCGAGGGGTCGCGGTCTGGGCTGGGGTGATCCCGCAGGTCCCCGGAGGCTGCTGTCCTGCCTGGCTTCTTCTCAGACCACTTCCGAGAGCTGTTCTCGTGTTTATCCCTTTCTCTTCTCCATCCCATAGTCCCTTAGAAATCTCCTGATTCTATTCTATGTCCAACCATGCACAAGCATTCCATTCCTCTCATTCTTTATTATTTGTGAACTAAGTCCTTGCCCCTTATACCTTTTCTTCTTGTATTTTTGTGCTTTCTCTCACATCATTCCATTCTTCACTGACTGCACAGTTCTTCCTTTCATTCACTCATTCATTTCTCCACAAAGCCATAATGGACACTTCCATTCCTGCTTATCTTGAAATCGCCTCGTTACTGTTTTGCTCATTATCTCTATACATTCCTGACTGTTTCTGCGGGATTCATACTGTGCAGTGGGGCAACGTAGAATTTAAAGTTCATGCATCTCTGTCCCCGGCAGTGGCTACAGGCATCCTTCTTCTTCTTCTTCTTCTTCTTCTTCTTCTTCTTCTTCTTCTTCTTTCCTTCTTTCCTTCTTACTTCTTCTGCTGCCTTCCCCTCAGGAAATCCTCAAAAGCCTTATCAGGACCATGGGGGAAATACCAGTGAATAACAGGGGAAGTCTAAGAAAAGTCTGTTTGTGTTTGTGGTTTTGCAAGTGTTTCCTGAAGGTACTATTCGATTTGTAAAGGGAAAGGGAACAGAGAGAAACCTCAGGCCCTTTTCTGTCTTTTCTCTGGCCTTCAATCCTTTTCCCTCTGCTTCTCTCCTCTGATCCTCCTGCAGTCACCTCAGGAGATCTCAGCTGTCTCTACAGTCCCACCTTCTTCCCATTTCAACGAACATTCCCAGGTCCTGTCAAGCCCTCCCCAGGCACCTCCATGTTCTCCCTTCACTGACATTAACAGGGTGTCCCATTCTGCCTCCAGGCTGACACAGCTCTGCCACGGCTTCCAGAGTTCACTGCGATAGACACAACCAGGGCTCCCCCCTTTCCAGGATCATCACTGTGTGTGCTCAGGGATTGAGGAGCTCTCAGAGGTGACAGGGATGGGGAAGCAGGATGAGCCTTTCTGCTGTATCTCCATGGGCTCCTCAGGCACCTGGAGGGGTGCTGGTTCCAGCACACACAGTTCAGCCATGGCAGGCTGTTCCCTGTTCCTTCAAGCACTAGGGGCAGGAGCAGGGAAGCAGCCCAGCTCTCCCTTGGATGATGCAGAGCAAAGAGCTCTGAACTCGTGCCCAGAATCTCTCAGGACTCTGCTACAAGGCAGGGAGCTTTCTTCACCAGGATTTTCCATGCACTTCGATTTGCTTCCCACAGTCCTTCCCTGTGGAGTTACTGACTCTGACTTTCTTCCAGGCACCACGGGGCAGATCACAGTCACCCAGGAAGATGGAGCAGTCACAGTGAAGCAGGGACA